ACACTGTGGAGGAGCAGGAGGAGGAGGAGGACATCGCGTAGCGGTGCGAACACTTGCAATTATGCATCCAGACCAGGCGTCCGACAGGACCCGTCGTCTCCACGCCGTCACTCTGAGCCGAGCCTCAAAATGTTCAGCAGGGGAGCCTGATTTCGAAAGCCGTTGGACATTGCGGGCAGCCAAATATGCATCGCAACACGCAGCGCGTACAAGATAGACTTCAGGATCACCGCGGAAAAGAAGGAGGAGACACAACGAATGCGGACGTTAGCCGTGTGGTCCCCAAGTCGGTCCAGCATATCTCACCAGGAGAGGCCCCGTCCACTTTGTGAGAATGTCCAGGAGCCCAGGGCAATCACAATCATGACACATTGAACCCAGATCATTCCCGGGATCAGGCGGAGCCCATCCAACTAAACAACCAGTTGGCAAAGCATGAAACTCAGCACCCGCGTTGAAAGAAGCTGTGAGCAGCTGCGGCGGCGCCGCGCCGAGGTGAATGTACATTGATACAGAAAGTCGAGACTATGGAGCCGTCAGCTCCGGAAATGAAATCTCGCGAGCAACGAGACGGGATACCTGCGGATAAAAACGCGCAGCTTGGATTGTCGCGCTGTGCTGGCAAATTCGAACCCGGGCCTGCGACCGAAGCACCGCGAGCGGAGGTCTCGCATGCGAGAGATGACTGGTAACTGGTGCAAACCGCGGTGCCGACGAAACGGGGCGTGTCCTAAAGCATCGCGGGCTTATCCAAAATTTGCCAGGACCTTGGGCAAGTCGGGCGAGCGCAGCAGATATCTAAGACAGGCAGCTTGCGCGACAGCGTGGGCATCGGCATATTCAGCCTCTGGACGAACATCCTGCAGCTTAGCGGCCAATCGATATGACATTTCATTGCTCGGGCATAGATCACTTGGCTCGGGAGGCACATCAGGGAGCGGATCAACAACGCGCGCATGATCCTGAACGGGATAACCGAAAGAGCGAGCCCGAGACCGAGATGCCGAGCGAGTCGAATCCAACGTGAAATTTCGGGGCGATATCTTTCCAAATGCGGTCGCGGGCATCAGGGCCGATGCCAGGCCCCAAGGCACAGGGCCCAACAGGGCGCGAGGATAGATAGACTTGAAGGGGGCCGCCGAGGGAGGCGAGGGTGGCAAAAGAGATGCCCCGTCCCGGTCCGCTGCGCATGATGGCCCGGCACTTCGTAAAGTTCAGGCCACGGTTGGCAAACTCGGTCAGCATCGTAAGAGCACACGGCGCTGGCCCAAGATCACGCAGGGCCTCGCAAGGCCAATCGGGACATCGCCGGCGCGTCCAGGGTTGACGCTGGCATGGCCGGCCCTGCGGCGGAGCGGCCCACGGAGAGGGGGGTGAACTGCAGTCGCGGACGGCCACGCGGGAGCAGGTCAGCCCTGCTCCGCGCCGGAGCAGATGTCAACAGAGTCAAACCGACGGCCTGCAAACATGACTTGTGCAACGCTGTTCGCGCGCATGCGCATCATTTTCGAAGACTCGGTCGCGCGGAAGGGCGCGAGAGCGCGCCCGGCGCGGCGCGGCAGAGCCGGGAGACAGCCAAAGAGAGAGGAAGGCAGAAGAGGAATCGGCGACGAAGAGCGGATAGAACTTGGCACCGCGCGGGCGGCGAAAGATGCCACGGGCCTCCGCGCGAACAACGTGGGCGAGCATATCGCGACCACTGGCGCAAGCTTGCACGCGACCAATGAAGAACTCCGCGAGATGTAGCGAGATGTCGGGAGGCGAACGAAAGCATTCGTCGGTAGCTCAACGTTGGCGCCGCTCATGCTGAACGGCCTGGCAATAGGCGCGTCACCGCCGAGAAAAGTTTGGCCAGGCGGGCCCCTGGGGTCACTGCCCTTGGGAAGAAACACAAGCGGGCCCCGCCGTTTGTCCGCGGGGAGGGGGTGCACTTGACCAGAGAGGAGCGCGAGATGCACGTGGTGCAAATCTTAGAATCGCTTTCGTTTTCCAAACGGCACGTGGAATACCACCGGGACCAGGCGTGCTACGATGCCGTTTTCAATGCGCTCGTGCCCGACGCCGGACGGCAGTTGCCTCTCAGTCTCCAGAGGCCCAGGGAGAATCTGAAGAAGAAGAAGCTTCTCTGCCCAAAGCCCAGGGTCAACGGAGGATGTCTTCAATACATCGCGCCAATAGTCGCGGGGGGCGACCACAGGGGCCTCAACCGACGCACAGGAGGCACCAGTTTCATCGTGCACTGCAGCATGATAAGTAGGCTCGCGAACTTTGCGCCTGACCTGCCAGCGCTGGACGCGCGCAATTTGATCGCGCTGGCGATGTTCATCACCGCTACTAAGGATGTCAACCTACTCGTTCCTGAGATTACTGTAGTACCGGACTTGTGCACTCTGACAAAGGCCGTCGAGATGCGCGCGTCCTGACAGGCCCGAATAGAATGAATGTTAAGCCGAGGGTGACACTCAAGAGCACGACGGCGCCACCGCGCATGCCCGCGAGGGCGGGCACGAAGGACAACAGGAGACCGACGATGCTTACCTCGGCGCGTACACGTCGTTCATTTCTAATCGTGCTCATTTCGAATTGCGCTCGTTTCAAATTGTTCCTGGCCCCCTAGTGGCCAGGAGGAGGCCCAGGAAAGAACAATTAGAAATGAAAGGATCTTGGCCCCCCCTCAAAAATTTAAGAATTTTCGAATACGTAGAAATGAACAATGTGTACCTTGGCGCGTCATGGCGGGGCACTGGCGCAGCACGCGCTGCAGAGGCGGCCTCCAGGAGGTAATCTCTCGCGGCCCGGGGCCAGCTGCTGGCTCCCCAGGCCGGGGGGGGGGCGTCTCGCGCAACAGACTGTCGACCGCAGTCCGAAGCTCCGGCAAGGCCGCCACTTCGGGAGAGAACGCAAAAAGTGTCTGGGCGACGGGGGAAAGAGAGCTCCAACAAGGCCGAGGCGGAAACGTGGCCACCATCCGCGAGAGCTTCCAGGGGGCCCAGATACGCGGCACGAGCAGCGACGCCCCTGAGAAGGGCAAGGGGGGGAGGTGTAGGGATGGTCGATCCCGGAAGCATGGTAGATAACCTTGCCCATTTTCGCGTCCTGGTCCTAGCAGAACACCGTGCGGCCAAGTGAAACGTCGCATTCTTGCTCATGCCAAAAGCTCGGACAACGATCTTGACAAGCACCGCAGACGGCGCGAAGGCACTGAGGCACGTATTACCAGCGATACCAACTTCCAGGTCTGGTCCTGGGCGTTCTGTAAAGGATTCGTGATCTGGTCTCCGTATGACGTGCTCAACGGTGTAGGCAAGGAGGGGCTGTCAACGATCTGGTTCTCGACCAGCCACTGGCGGTCGAGCAGAACCTTCAGCGAGCCCTCTTCGATTGCGCCGACCTTACTCTCTAACAAGGTCGCGGGAACCCATCGCGTTGCCACCTCTGGTCGGGACGTGGTTGCTATTGGAAACGAGTTCTTTCCTCACCTCCTTCATCCTGGGGTCCATCACATTCAGGAAAATGGTGTCGCCGAGAATTGCAATTCTTGGCGGCGTGAGTAGTACACGCGGCTGAGAAACGTCATCTGGTCAGCGAGCGACGCGCAACGGTGTACCGATGCCTTGCACGTATCCTTGATAGTCATCCTGTCAATTGCTTTGCTGGGCACGAGCTGGAAAAGAAACTCCATCTTGTCAATGAGCTTGCCGGACATAGACACAATGGAAGTACTGCCCCCCGTAGTCCCAGAAGCCGACGGCGAGCGGTCCACTCGATGGCCAGGCGATCTCGAGTGAGAGCGGCAAGGAGAACATGAGGATTAAAGGTGGCGGCGGTGCCTCCCGCCACTGCGCCTGCCGTCGCCCGCGTGGCCATGGTTGAACTTGGAGCGAACTCCTTTGCGGCCAACTGCAGCACAAAGGGAAGAAATGCAAAGGTGTGGCGACAATATAACGCGATGTGGAATATGAGAAACGGGGCGTGATTTGGCTCACGGCTGTGTGAGGCCCCACGGTTCGAAAGGATCGGTCGGAACCAGCCCCTTGGCAGCGACCAAACTCACCCGCTCAGGGAACGTTTGAACTTCAGCAAGCATGGTTTGAGTCAAAATGGGTCCAGACGATAGTGCTATCGATTGTGGGTTTGGTTGCGGGATCGATAATTCCATCGATAGTGACAACGATCGTAAGATCGATAGTGGGGTCGATCATGATACCGATAGTGGGGCCGATCGCGAAGTCGATTCTGAGATCGATCGAGCGAAGCGTTGGTCCCTCCTCCCCCCCCCAGGACCTGCTTATCATCCGAAGTGTGGCTGTTTAGGTACGGATATCAGTTTCGACCACGAAAGGGGGATGGCGGCGGGATTTCCGCAGAAACCCTCGCGCTTTCTGGGATAGAGGGAGGAAGAACAAGCCTCATAATGAACACCCCGCAGGCGAAGCGGGTTAGCAAACGCACCCACGGAAGGAGTCACAAAAGGCAGGGCTGTTTAGCAAACGCCCACGACTGTTGAGTAAACGCAGATTCTGAAGGTCGGGTGGGTGTGCCCTCTCTCGATGGGACACCACCCTTGGCTTCGGAGAAGGCCGGGATAACTTCCAAGAAGGCATGGGGGCCTTCCGGGCCTTCTGAGAAGGCCCGCACCCTCTGACCCGCACGACCATCCCCCTCCTCCTCCTCCTCCTCCTCCTCCTCGTCCTCCTCCTCATCATATTCACCATCATCATCGTCATCATCAACATCGTAGGGAAAGGGCGACGGGCAAGACAGGGAGAGTGGAGGGAGGAGGACGAGAGGGAAGGAGGAGGAGGAGGAGGAGGACGAGGAGCAGAAGGAGGAGCAGGAGGAGGAGGAGGAGGCGGAGTAGAAGGCCTCCCCCTCCTCCTCCCCCTCCTCCTCCTCCTCCTCCTCCTCCTCCTCCTCCTCCTCCTCCTCCCCTTCCTGAGGCCTTCTGAGAAGGCACGCCGCCGATCCTCCCCCCTTTCCTCTCTTCCCCCCACCTCGTCGCAGGATGCCCGGCGCGCGGCGCGCACAGGTGGACACGCCAGGCCGCGGGGCCCCGCGCTCACTCGTCCTTGATGACGCCGACGATGTCCTCGTCCCTGTAGATGAAGTACTCGTCCTCCGGGATCGCTCCGGGCGGGCGATCTCGAGGAGGTTGCCGGAGGGAGAGGGGGAGAGGAGAGGACATCCGATGCCTGGACTTTTTCCCACATGTTTCGTGGGGTTATGGTTTTCTTCCCTGCCGCGGCGCACCCGCGTCTCCTCACACCTCACCCCCTCCCTTTTCTTCCTCTCCTCACCCGCGCTCAACACATGCACGGCAAGTACATGACACACGCGTCTACATACAGCCGCACGCATGTACACGTTCGCACACAACACACACACACACACCATACAACGCTAGTGCGCGCCTGGCGTGTTCACTGCATCACACATCCACGACGTGTGCGCAACATAGTGGGCACCCACATGAGACACGTCCCGATATGGCCGCTATGCACGACGGTCGTCCAGGCATAGCAGGCGTGGCACTTCCTCGACACCAGAGGGGGGGCGCTGGGGGTGGGGGCCCTATGCGTTTCGGGCTCGCAAAGCGTGGCAGGCATGGCACTTCCTCGACACCAGAGGGGGTGCGCTGGGGGTGGGGGCCCTATGCGTTTCGGGCTCGCAAAGCGTGGCAGGCGTGGCACTTCCTCGACACCAGAGGGGGTGCGCTGGGGGTGGGGGCCCTTGCGTTTCGGGCTCGCAAAGCAGGCGTGGCACTTCCTCGACACCAGAGGGGGTGCGCTGGGGGTGGGGGCCCTCTGCGTTTCGGGCTCGCAAGGCGTGGCAGTGGCACTTCCTCGATGCGCTGGGGGTGGGGGCCCTATGCGTTTCGGGCTCGCAAAGCGTGGCAGGCGTGGCACTTCCTCGACACCAGAGGGGGTGCGCTGGGGGTGGGGGCCCTATGCGTTTCGGGCTCGCAAAGCGTGGCAGGCATGGCACTTCCTCGACACCAGAGGGGGTGCGCTGGGGGTGGGGGCCCTCTGCGTTTCGGGCTCGCAAAGCAGGCGTGGCACTTCCTCGACACCAGAGGCGGTGCGCTGGGGGTGGGGGCCCTCTGCGTTTCGGGCTCGCAAGGCGTGGCAGGCATGGCACTTCCTCGACACCAGAGGCGGTGCGCTGGGGGTGGGGGCCCTATGCGTTTCGGGCTCGCAAAGCGTGGCAGGCATGGCACTTCCTCGACACCAGAGGGGGTGCGCTGGGGGTGGGAGCTCGTATCTTGTCAAGAACTGTAAACACCTTGGCTCCAGCCGGCTCGGCGCGCCTGCGCTCTCACGCAGCCGCGCTCCTGTAGTCCTGCTTCAGAGCACGATGGCGACGAGTACGATGGCGAGGTACGACGACGAGTACGATGACGAGTAAGATGATAGAACGGCAACGAGTACGACGACGAGTACGACGAGTACGACGACGAGTACGACAAATACGACGACGATTCGCGACGAGGGTTTAGAACGCAGGATGGCGCATATATGATAATGACAAGCAAACACGTAAGATTAAAAATCAGTATGTGGGGTTCCTCGGTAGCGTAATTTCAAGGATCTTCTGACCAGGGTCAATCTAGACCCGGTTCAGTCAGGCGCTGCAAGATCCTGCAAGATCCTGCAGGCTCATGCGCGATCCTGCACCCAAACCTGGGTCAATGCACCCCTTGCCCTGCAGGATCCTGCAAGATCCAGCGCTCTGGCTGACCCCCGTTTGCATTGGCCCCCGTCTCTTGAGCCCCGATTTTCCAACACGGGGACACCGGAAGCCCCGACCTTGTCCCCAGGCATTACGCGTCGTCCATTTCTAATCGTGCTCATTTCTAATCGTGCTCGATTCTAAGTGTTCCTGGCCCCCTAGTGGCCAGGAAGAGGCCCAGGATAGAAGAATCAGAAATGAACAGATCTTGGCCCAAAATCCAAGAACTCTCGAAGAATTAGAAATGAGAAATGTGTACATCCCGAACACGGTAATTGCACTGTCCCCGGGGCTCGGCGAAGGGCCCCTCGAAGGCTGGCAAAACTGTCAGACTGCTTTCCTTTCTGTGCTGTTTTTTCCCACGCCGCGAGCGTGTGGGGTGCCCAGTGCTCCGTGCCATTGGCTGCCTACCAGGAGCAAGAACAGGCGACACCAACAGCACCAGGGCGAGGATGTGCGAGGAGCAAGGGGAGGTCTCCCTGGTGGTGTGGCCCCCCCCCCTCTCGCTCGAGACATCCCCAGCCTCCAGCTCGGGGAGCCATCGTGGACCTCCTCGCTGGAGGTGGCCCCCCTGGTGGTGTTGGTGTCGCATCTCCCCCCTCCGACTTACCCTCATCGCCCTGACGGTGCAACTCGCACAGCAGTGAAGGGAACGCGCCGCGCGAGACAACTGCCGCGGAGGGTGCAGAACGGAGTTGGGGCGGGAGGGGGCTGCTCGAGAAGAGTGTCTGGGCAGATCGGCCCACCAGAGCCCAATCTTGTGGGAGGGGATCAAAGAACAATAAACCGCATAAACTTGGAGATCCGCTCGGATTTCTCGGATCTGCGCCTGGACCCCCCTCCATTGCTCGCGGAACGCGCCGGGGGCGGCTCCGGAGGCGCCGCCAGGGGGGTCCAGCGTAGATCCAAGAAATCCGCGCGGAGCTCAGAAGACTTCTGTTGATGCAGTTGTTCCTTCTTCGACGGAAAGTGGTGGTGGAAAGGGATGGTGGCTCGCACGAGCTGGCTTAGCTTGATCCCTTCTCCCGATCCTCCTCCCCCTTCTCCTGAATATCCGTCCTCTCCTGCTCCAGGAGGAGGGAAGCAACGACGAGGACAAGAGACATGAGAGACAGGATTCCAGCGATTCCAGCATTCGGGGGATTCACGAGTGCAAGCTCGGGCCCACGGATCAAAACAGTCAAGGAGCGGGGAAGGCCATGCCGTACTTGGGGGGCTTGCCTTCAGCCAGCCGCTCAAGATTGCGCCTGCCAGTGGCGGACATAGGTGTGCCTGTCTCAGGAGACGCGGGTGGACAAGGCTTGGCCAACTTCTGAACAGTGTTGGCAGCAAAGTACCCGCAGCAACGACAGTACAATATTCCTTTGAATTCAGCCAGGACGTGCGTCGGGTGCGCACGCGGGAAACATGGATGTCCGTTCGGGTTGCCCTGGGACGCGGGGCCAGGGGAAGTCGAAGGGTCCAACCTGCCAGACGACGAGGACCCCAACACCAGCGCACCAGGACACTGGCCAGGCCAGAATTTGGCCAGCTCCCCTCGGACAGCAGGAAATCTACAGAGACATCGAGAGCACTTAAAGGATCCAGCTACTTTACACACATCATGGCCCTGCTCACGCAATCTCGCTCTGCGGAGGTTGCTCGAACAGGGTCCTCGCTCTTTGTGGTGCTCCCTACCTAGACGATCCTCGCGAGTCCTCGGGCACATGAGCGAAACGTGCCTGGAGACAGCGAGGAGTCGTTTAACAACACGTAAACAATTTTCATCTACATTAGAAATTTCCCTGACCTTCTCAGCAGGGAGGGCCCCCCACTTGGCAGCTTCCCCCGCAAAGTGATCGGCAACGCCATTGGCGACTAATCCCTGGGGGGTCAGGCGGTGGGCGGAAACCTGCTTGAAGGTGGGGTGGCTCTTGCGCCAGTGGACCTCCAGCTGGCCATCTCTGTCGCCAAGCTGGTCCCAGACCTGCTGCCACAGGTCCAGCATGCACGAGTGATCAACTTCAACATCCTTCCGAGCAAACGCGCGTGCAATCGGCAGAAAGTCGGTGTACAGCACCGTGTCTCCGACAACTTATCGCAACAGCTGGATCACGGCATATAGTTCCGCACGGGGAGAGCTTTGCTCAACGCCAGGAAGGGTCCCACACAACACGCCAGACACCTGGAGGGCCCCTGGTTGAAGGTGAACAACAGACCACCCGCATCTCCTCAACCTCCAATCCTCCGTATGATCTCCTCCAGAAGCGTCGCTCCCGAATATCCCCCCATGAATCAGAGCACCTTCACGAAGCGCCTCAAGAAAAGATCCCCAGGCCCAAACTTTAGTTTCCACGGGAGGCAACACACCAACCGTCCAGCCTAGGGGAACCAGCCCACGAGTCCAGAAACACTCCGATTCAGGCACTCCAGCGAGGGAATCTTGATACATATGGTTAGTGAGGTGTATGTGGTCATCATCAATGTTCGCATTATCTTGACAGCCCCAGTATCTGTGCCAAGGTGTTTCGTGGCGAACTCCACAACGAGGGCATACACCATTGCTGAGATAGCCGCTGTCCTTGAGGCGCTGCTCTGGCCACTGGCCGCCAGAGGCGAGGTGATTCAAAATAGCAACACCGTCGAAATCGCCTTGCCGAGAGAGCGATCTCCGCAGCTTGCGCAGCACGGTAAAATCAACACCTTCATGCAGACCCTGTCCCCCGTAAGCCTCAGAGGCTTGGACCCAAAGCATACTGCCCACTTGTTTTTCAACCGTCTTCCACAAAAAATACGGAAAATCACGTCGAACAACATGGAGGGCAACACCAGGGAATCTCCACGTACAGGGCTCCAGAGGGTTCCCATTGAGCTCCAAGATACACATGATGACAGACGCTATGGGGCCCCGCACATGACGCCGACGGTGAACAGGTGGAACACTTCGCAGCTTAGCTAACAATTTGGGCCATACTTTGTTCACGCTACAGACCTGGCTAGGGTCGAGGACACGGTAAGTTCGGCTCCATTCCAAAAGATGTTCATAGCGGATCTTATGCGCTGGGTCATCAGACATAGCATGATCAAGAGCAAGGAGGGTAGTGGTACAACAGCCAGCATGCCATCGTCCTGTCGCTTTAGCTGCCTGGGCACGAAGTGAACGCATGCGCGAGGGCGGGGTGCCAAGGACTTGATGGCTCCATGTGCCAACTGCAACCACACCTGGCTTAAACAACTTGCGAGCACGACGGTTAACATGGGACAGGAACGTGAGCCTCTTACTGCGAAGCCTAGCTTCTTCCTTGCGCTGAGTCATTTTCCACATCGTCCTCCTCCTCCCAGCCGTGGTCCCAACTCCCAAGTCCTTCACAGAATCAACAACTTTAAGCGGAACGTTCAGCTCATCGCAGAGAGCCTGAAAAGGGCGACCAACTTGCCGAGAAGAGGCGACGACGCACGACTTCGACGAGATCTTACACCCACGACGTTTCAATACATCACAAAGTTCTCGCGCAGCTGGCACCAGTTTGGTAATGATGTCCTGCGCGGAGCCTTGGATGCACTGGGTAAGGTCGTCCACATACGCCGAAATCGGGACTCGAGGGACACGACAATGTGCCGCCTCCAAGATGTCATAGAGATAACATTTGATCCATGGCAGGGACTGGGAACATCCAGCTAAAATGGACTGGCCTGCCTGCATAACACCCGACACCAGGGGCTGGACCTCGAGGAGCCTGGGGGAGGTGTGGATCAGGAGGCCCAGGTAGAGGAGCAAGGAGGAGTAGTCGACAGCCTGAGCCAAGCCGATGAGCTTACTTGGGTCGATGGTGTCAAAAAACTTCTCCATATCCCAGTGGCCAGAAACAGAAAAAAAAACCCTCCACCCGAGCACACTCGCGCAAAACTTCACGGAGCATGACGGCGCGCAAGGCCGACGATTTCTTCACAGCCGCACCCCAGAAGGCGACGTGGGAATCGGTCCAGTCCTGGATTTTGTCCCCGCGGATTCGGGTATACAGTCGGTAGAGGGTGGGGCACTTAGTGATGGGCCTTTCAGACGTCGACGTTTTGGGCAGGAGGGTGACCAGACAAAGATAGACCTGCTGGGGGAACTCAAGGGCATACTCGATGCCATTAAAAATGGTGGCCAAGTGATCCAGGGCTTCACCAGGAAGCCGCATCAAATCACGAGGGGGCCACCCGTCCACGCCGAGGGCCGTGTCGGCCGAGAAACACTTGCAAGCCGGGAGCACGTCTTGGCCCTTAATGCCGCGAGCCTCAAGCGCCTCCAGCTCAGCGACGGGTCTGAGGCGCTGCATAGCGTACTCAAGATCACCGACTTGCCTACTCGTCGGCGTCCACCAGGACGCCCAAAACTGCTCGCGATATCTCATCAGCTCTTGGGGGGTTTGGGCAACGAAAGTGGGAGTAACAAACATTTCAACCTCCTTTTTGGCATCAGAACGTAACCAACGGTGCACCACTTTCGCTCCCCCCGCGAGTCCCTTAGCGAGCCAGGCCTGGATGCCGAGGCGATTAGCTTTCCGAGCCGCAGTCCGCGCGCGACGAAGGACGGGGACGAGAGCTCCTTGGATGACTTCAAGCTTCCGAGGGTCGCCTGGGATGTCTTGCAACCACCCTGTCCATACAGCAGCTTGCCGTGCATCGGCAAGGCCTTCAAGGTGTAGACCCACCTCATCACCGCGCGCTCGGAGGAGAGTCCTGAGAGCGGTGACCTGGGTGGTGCCTCCTCTCTTCAAGGCGACAGCAAAATCGTACAGGCGGGACGATATCAGCGTCCAAAAAGCCAGGCAGGGGTGGGAAAAACCTTGTTTCATCACTCCTCGTTTGGGAAGGGTCCGCTCCTGCACAACTACTGCTCTGCCCCTGCGCCCTCCCGGCGACGGCCAGGTGGAGAGGGGGCGGGAGCAAAACAGCATTTCCGCAGCAGTAGACCACTTTTGATAGGATTCCGAGAGTCCTTGCGAGTGTAGGGGCCAGTGAAACTCGAGAAAAGCTCCACGGACTTCGCGAGGTATCTCCACAACTTGGTCACCAGCACGGTGGACAAAATCACTCCAACGCTGATCAGGCCCAGGGTGGGCCCCGATTGGGACAGGTCGATCTCGTTTCATCACGGTGTCACGGAGAACCTCGAGCGACATCTGGACATGCAAGCAGGCGTGTGTCTTAAAAGCGGGGCTCCAATCCGCATCAATCGTCAGGTATGGGCGGATGTCCCGCGAAACGACTGCATAATCGATCAGGCGGCCAGTGCCTTTGTCACAGGTAAAGTCAGTATTGCGGGGGTCCACCGTGACGCCAGAGACAACCTCACAGAATCCACACTGGTGCAACTCGAGGGGCTCCATGTTGAAATCTCCCAAGAGGATCCACGGGCACTCAAGCATCCCCAGGAACTCAACCACTTCATGGAGACGGTCGAGGTTCATACCTGAAGCTCCAATCCCAGAGACGAGATAGATAACTCCCAGAGCGAGCGTACAATGCTGCGTCTTAATTTCCAGGAAAAACCAACTCTGCCCCTGGCCCACGTTCTCGACCCCAGCGGGGAGACTACGTAGGAATTTCTTGCAGTAGACCGCCTTCTGCACGACAGCGCCGACACCACCATGCCATCCTCCGCCAGGCGAGGGAAGGGCTGCTTGGAAGTGCGGGCGCCATCCCATAGATGAGCAGTCTCCCTTGGCGGCCTGTAGCTTGTCGGGTCCCTGATGGTGCTCGGCAAAGAGGTAAACGTCGACATCCTCAACAGCTCTGGCAAGTTCAGACTTGGCCAGTTCAGACCAGCTGGAAACGTTGCAGAACTTGACATCGATAGTCGAACGCACGTCGACCCTCTGCCATCGCTGCCCCAGGGACTCGTCAAACCAACGACGCGCCTTGCACAACTTGGGGGGCTGCCAGGTGGGCAAAAGCGTTGACCCACATATCATTAGCATAAGTAGCCACCTTGAGCTTCTTATGCGCCTGCGCATGAAATTTTTTGACCAGGAGGGTCTCCAACCTCTCGAGGTCCTCAGGCTTACATTGCTCCGCAGAACGCTTGCGAAGCTCAGAAAGCTCCTGCCGATCAGCCTCACCAAGAAGATCGTCATCAGCATCGACAGGAACAGCCTTATGTTCACCACCATCCTCGCCACTCTCACCGCCCATAGCAGCATCTGCACCCTCGTCAGTGCCAGACTCACCAGGGGCAGACGACGCAGACGCCGAGGAGCCAGGAGAGACCGAACTGAGGACGTTGTGAGCGGCAAGCTGGGCGGTGCGCAGGTTGCACCACTCGCTGAAGGGGACCTTGGTGCTGTCGGCGAGCTTCCGAAGGTCATCATCTCCCAGGGTATGTAGTTTACCAAGTACTTCACGGGCATCTTCAGGTGCAGGGCCTGCTCCAGAAACGCCATGAGCGCCTCCAGGTTCTCCACCAGGTGGGCCGTCTGCACCAGCGGGGGGGGGCCGCGCAGCAGCTTGAGCGGCCGCCGCAGCCTCCATCTTCTGCTTCTTGAACGCGGCCTCGTCAAACCTGTCCTTCTTTTCCTTGGCGACGGTGTGGGCGGACTGGGCTTCCTCAAGGTGCGATGAGGCTTCGGCAAAGGCAGCCTCGGCCTGCTTGACCTTCTCACGGGCCTTGAGCAAAGCCTCCTGACGCTCAGAGCGACTCTGCCAGGCCAAGCGCTCAGCCTTGGCAGCCTCCTCCACGCCCTTCGCCAAGGCAGTCCGCTCTCCAGCCACCGCTGCGTCCAGCTGCGCATCGGACGGGACGTTCGGCGGTGGTGGAGGCGGCAGGTGGTTCGCAAGCACATTTCGTAGGCCAGGAAATTGAGCAACAGCAGCACTTGCTTGTCCTGACAGGTCGAGAGGACACTGTGAGTCGACCGCCGCACTCGACTCACCCGTAGTCTTATTGCGCATGACATACGATCCGCTGCACCGGCTGCACGCAGCGTGACCGTGGTAGAGGTACTCCCAGTGCCCGCACTTGCTGCAGACAGCGTAGGGTGAGGCATCACCATCACGGCGACGCTTGTGGCCACGGCGACCAGCATCACGGCGCTGCTGATCACTTTGCGCTCGCCAGGGAGGGGTACGCTCAGCAGTAGTCCACGTCCACGGCATGGCATGCACGCGCGGAAGGGGGGGGGTAGCGGGAGCTCACAGCGCGGAAGGGGGGGTACCGAGCACCAGGTGCCGTTGGGCCGCCAAAAGCCCCTGCGGTACTGGCAGAAAGAAAGACTGTCGAGCGCAAGCGCTCTGGCACTGCCGCGGACTAGCGGTATCCACTTGTTCCACTGTGGAACTCAAAACCTTGAGCCAAAATGGCTACGGGACATGAGAGACAGGAGGAGGAGGAGGAGGAGCAGGACAAGGAGGAAGAGGATGCCGAGTGGGGATGGGGAGCGCGGGAGGGAATGGAGGGCAGAGGGCTGTGTGGAGGAGGGAGGAGAGAGAGATGTGTTAGAAGGCGAGGATGAGGAAGAGGAAGAGGAATGAGAGAAGCGGGACGAAGATGATGACCAAGGGATCGAGTCTCAGAGAGACCGAGCTACGTGAAGCCAATCACCAATAAGAACTTGTGGAACATTGGGATGCGTTGTTGGTGAGAGGTCGGGAACATTGGAAGTTACTGCCCTGAACGAATCCCAGCGATTTCAGGGACACCGGACGGAGCCGAGGGGCGACTCCAACAAAACCTAGGTGCGATTGCCATGTCTGAGTGCTCAACTGATCGTACCGCCGATGTGTTCAAGGTTCTCGCCAAGGATATCACCCAGCCCGATGCGCGAAACTTCCTCCTCGAGCTTCACTTCAGTGCCGCCATACCTTGGGATGATCACGGTGTCGCCGACCTTGGCGCGTCATCACCGGCTGTCCTTCGCTGCCTCTGACCAGCGCGGCTCGCTTCGGACATGCTGAGGGCTTCACCCTGTGGAATTAGCTGGCAATCGCTGCTCAACTGCATGGCTTCATTCGGCTTTCGCCAACCTTTCTGCTTTGCTTGTGCGTCACCACGATTGCTTTTGTTTCGTCACACGTCGATGATACCATCCCCACGGCTTCACACCTTTCCACCACGCCTGAACATATTGGCGGTTTTAGGGCGCCGCTAGTAGCCACGCCATGGGGCCTCCACAAGGGGGTGCGTCCCAATGTCCAAGGACCGCAATAATACACATCTCGAGGCTACTCTTACCACGTACCTTCGCACATGACGGAAACGAAACAGCAATGGACGGAAGGAATAGGCTTGGTCGAGCTGCATCAGCAAACCGCTGGATCGAACAATGTCAACCGCTGAGCTTTGATGACGGAGGCGCACGCCTTGCCCTCGCTGGTTCAATGCTTCGATGCCCCTTATGTTCGGCGCATCGAAGTCCCCCGCTTCGCTCAAGACTTCCTCAACTCTTCACCATCTCCCTCTTCGCGGTTGTGCTCCCCCACCGACGAGTCAAAACTGGACTTCGGGAGCTGTGCTCCTTACCCCCCTGTGGGAACCAATCGCACCAACGACCTCTCCAGAGGTGTGGCACGAAGACGATGGCCCCACCAAGGGTGGGGGGTGGGGACGGACCACAACCACCGAAGCTCTGGCGGGCCTGCTTCGTGAACTGGTCACTCTTCGGAACGGCGGTCAGGAACTTTTGCTTCGCGTGTCACGGCGGCGGCCCATGCACCATGCCATACACTGTAAGCAAATAGCGTGTCGCCCGCTCCACGGGGAGGAGGAGGAGGAGGAGGAGGAGGAGGAGGAGGAGGAGGAGGAGGAGGAGGAGGAGGAGGAGGAGGAGGAGGAGGGGGGAGGAGGAGGAGGAGGAGGAGGAGGAGGAGGAGGAGGAGGGAGGCTTGGACGAACTCGAAACGCTGACGCCGCTCGGGAGCGGGGACGCGGCTAGCGTGTTGCGCCGAAGCGTGGTGGACCAGGCCCGGCGGAGCGACGCGCGAAGGAACTTTGGACCGACCGTAGTCCCACCGGTCCCATGTGGGCGTAGGAGGTTTAGGGCGTTTCCTCTTGCAACCTATTCCTGGACCTTCGTAGAGAGTCTCACCTCTCTCCCTGCCCCTCTCCCTGGGTCTAGACGAGAAGGGGGCTCTAGCGGTCAGGGCGTCCAAGAAGGCCCAAGATGGTCATATGAAGGCCCCAAATCGCCAAAGATGGTCTCCAATATCGCACAGTACACCCCAAGATGGCTCGACAGAGCTTTCAACATGCCTCCAAGAGCTCTCAATACCCTCCAAGACGGGTACATACAGCTTTGGGGGATCCCCAAGATGACTTTCCGAGGCCTCCGGATGGTTCCACGAGGGCCCCAGAGAGACCCATGAGGGGCCCAAGAGGGCTCCAAGACACAAGAGCGCTTTAGGAGGGCTACAAGAGGCGATTTCTTGGCTTCCAGAAATGGGGCGCTAACTGAGAACCCACTCTTCTCTCATCGATGTCCTCCCGGATGGTCCCTAGAAGAACCTCAAGGCTCCCCCCAAAAACCAGAAAAGGCACCAGAGCGGCTCCCAAGATCCGTGACAACACAATATCCCAAGATGCTTCCATGAACCTCGAGGATGCCCCAAAGACACCCCAAGAGGCCGCCAAGAACCCTCCAGAAGACATCATGGCGACTCTGAGGGGCGGCCGACGTATCCAAGTTCTACCACGCTCCCCCGATGAGGCCAGCTCGCCTGACGATTGCACCTACCAGTCTACGCCAACCCAGCCCGAAGATCCGAATTTTGGGTTGGGGGGGGCCTACGGGCTTCCTATGTGTGTTTTTCCCAAAACTTTCCCCGACCCCCCCCCCGACTGGGAAAGGAGGGCAAATTGGAGCCTTCTCGGGTTGGGTTGAGGTGGTTTGGTGGGTGGTGGTCCCCTGGGCACCGTTCCCGGACGGGCTGGTGGGGACATGTGACAGCGCTCGGGATGCTCTCCTGTGAGGGGCAGCGATAGGGGGGTACTGGCATAGGGGGGGGATCGACGCATCGACCTGGAATCGGCGATACATCGCCGATGGATTGGCGATAGGCCCCCGATAGTTAACGCGCGCCTTGCTGTGCAGGTTGGGACCATCGGGCCCGCATCGGCGATCAATAGGCGATTGGGGGTCGACGCGTCCCCACTATGTCTATCCCCCCTTGTCGTTGCCCCCGATCCTGGGCCACTTCTCCGTGTGCCTTTCTACTCTCCACTGGAACCCCGCTACCCTTGCCCTCGGCAACCGGCCCTGGCCGATCACCTTCCGGTGCGCCAGCCTTCGCTGCCTGAGGCCGCATGCGCAAACCTGGCATCGTTCAGCTGGTCCCAGAACGAGAAAGTGGCCACTCTGACTATTGTGACGACCGCTGTCGAGGAATCCACGGGGCTGGCTGGGGAGAAACAAGCAAGCCTGTAGCGCCCGTCCTTACCCACACAACGCTTCTTCACCACGTGGTCACTCTCCTCCTCCTCCTCCTCCTCCTCCTCCTCCTCCTCCTCCTCCTCCTCCTCCTCCTCCTCCTCCTCCGCTTCCGGAACTGCAGCGGATGGTCCCATAATCGGGGCCGCCGATACCAGCGCGCCGCGCGCGCCGCCGCGGCCGGGCCGCGGGGCGCTCACAGCGCGAGGCGGGCCCTACAGAGCGGGCGGCGTAGGGATGGCTAGCCAGCTCCCCCACCCTGCCCCCCGGCCGGAAGCGTCAAAGCCAGGACGGGCAGGGCAGGGGCCAGACCACCGCCAAACCCACGCCACCCCCCCCAAAGGGCCCACCACGACACGACGGACGACACGACAGACGACGACGACGACGACGACGACGACGACGACGACGACGACGACGACGACGACGACGACGACGACGACGACGACGACGACGACGACGACGACGACGACGACGACGACGACGACGACGACGACACGACGACGACGAGACGGAGACGGACCGCCAGTCCCGCCCCAAGGCGGCGAACGCAGGGGGGGAACCCTGCGCCGCCCTGGGGGAGGCCCCGGGACCTGGCAGCCCCCCCTGGGGAGGGGACCCTGCTTATGGGGGCCGCCCAGCCCTCCTCCTCCTCCTCCTCCTCCTCCTCCTCCTCCTCCTCCTCCTCCTCTCCTCCTCCTCCTCCTCCTCCTCCTCCTCCTCCTCCTCCTCCTCCTCCTCCTCCTCCATCTCAGACTCAGAACCCAAGGACCCACCACGGTCTCAAAAGTAGGCACAGTTCCGACTGGGTAACACGTGCCGAGTTACCTGGGATTGTGGGAAGACTCCCTACGAAACCAACGCACTGTGAATGAAAGGCCAGCTGCTGACCACACAATGATTGCACAGGCCTGGCTGGCGACCCTCGGGGGCAAACAACCCCTCTGTGGGGCCAGCACTCTTGGCGCAGGGTTCAAAATCCCACCAGCCCTCTGGGCGTAGGTGGTTCCGGGAATTTCCTCTTCCAACCTCCTTCACCCCCTTCGGGGAGGGATTTACCCCTCCCCCTAACCCCCTCCCCTGGACTTGGACGCGGGGGGCCGCTGGTAGTTAGAGCGTCCAAAACGGCCTCGGCGAGGAAGCCAAAATCATAGGTTTTACTATGGGTTTGGCCGATTTTAGAGGCTCCCGAGGGGGGAGGCTAATTGAGGGACCCCCTTCCTTTGATCGATCACCTCCAAGATGGCCCCAAGAACGCTCCCAAGGCTCCCAAGAGCGCCCCAAGAGAGCCTCAAGAGGCGCCCAGGAGGCCCCAAGAGGCGACCAGGAGGCCCCAAGAGGCCTCCAAGAGTCCCCCAAAATACCCCCAAGAGGCCCCCAAGAGGCCCTAAGAGGCTCCCCCGAGGCACCCAAGACGGTCCAATAAGCTCCCGGGGGAGGCCCCCAAGACGCCCCGAGAGACCTCAAAGAGTATCCCAAGAGACATCCCAAGAGACTCCGCGAGGCATTCAAGAGGCCTTTGGCTCTTCTGATCGCCCTTATCCTCCTCCTCCTCCCCCTCATCATCATCACCATCATCACCATCATCATCATCATCATCATCATCATCATCATCATCATCATCACCACCATCACTATCGTCAAGACCACTACCATCACCGTCATCATCAGCATCATCAATATCAACATCAACACCATCATCCGCCTATTCTTCCTCCTCCTCACTCCTCCCTCCCCGCCCTCATCATCCTCCTCTTCCGCCTCCGACTCCTCTTCCATCCCCCCCGTTGGGGTACGACGGCCTCCCCAGCCCCTTGTTCCTCTGTGTGCTGCCCCGTTTCCATAATCACCTCTACTCGCATGGGCGTCGTTTCTGGATGGGCTGGTGGGGGTAGGCGAAGCGTCAAGAATTTTAATTCCCTTCCCCCCGCCCAAACCGTCCGACCCGTTCCGCCCCCCCCCGCCCCTTTCCTCGGCCTTTGCCTTTGTCCTGGCTCCTGTGGCGCGTGCGCGATGGCAAGATCACCGCTGGGCGAGCAGGCAAGGCGGTGTTATTGTAAGTTAGCACGCTGCTGCTGAAGGCACTGCTTACTACGCTGGGGCCCACGCGACCGCTCGACAATAACTCTGCTGCCAGGCGCCTGCTACTGCTCATGCGTCCGACCTGCCGTCCCCGAGCAGCCTCGAGATTTCTCGCCCCATGGGGGCCCCGAGGGCCCGCTCCGCGCAGCTTCTTCCCCCCTTCGATCTCGATCGCCCTGAGAATGACCGGCGCCAGCGCCGTCGCCAGCGGGTGGCCCATGCCGAACTTGATGGTGAAAACCGCCTTCTGGCACTGGCCGCCGAAGTTATTCTGCCACTTCTCTCGGACGCATTGAACCAGATCGCACATTTCGTCCTCTAAGATCTTCCCGAGGCGGTCTGTGAATAACTCCTTCGTCTCGGTTGTGATTTTGGCCAGCTCG